CACACCACACCTAATGTGGTCCAGGGCACTTAAGCTTCCGTGGTGTTATGAAGGATACGTCCTGACGTACACAGACGGATCCAAAACCTCGGATGGCGTGGGTTGTGCTTTCATCAGCGGTTCCGTCACTCGTTCGTTCTCGTTACCGGCCCACTCGTCAGTTTTCATAGGGGAATTAATTGCGATTTCCAAGGTGATATGTCTCATGGAAGTCGGTGAAGAATATTCACACGCCATTTTTACAGATTCGCTGAGCAGGCTCTCTGCACTGAAGTCTTTTTATCCATCATGCCCCCCTATACAGGACATTTTATCACGCCTGACACAGTTGAATCGGGTTGGAAAGAGAGTTGCCCTGTGCTGGATCCCCAGTCACGTCGGTATCGTGGGCAACGAGTGGGCTGATGCTGCTGCCAAGCGAGCAGCGGTGGCACCATATACCCGATTTTTGCCTATCCCTGCCAGGGATTTCTACCCGGTAGTCAAGGCCTTCCTGAGAAGCAAACTGCAACGTTGTTGGGACTAGGTGGGCGGCAATAAGCTCACGGAGATAAAAACCGAGTTGGGCTTGTGGTCGTCATGCTCTCGCAGTGTTCGGTGGGAAGAAGTGACTTCATGCAGGTTGCGTATTGGGCATACGTATGCCACCCATGGCCATCTGTTGCATGGAGCCGACAGACCCCTATGCCAGCGGTGTGGTACCGATCTCACTCTCCACCACGTCATTGTATCATGTCTGTGCCTCATCGAAGAACGACGACGTCACTTTGGTCCGCAGGCTTCGCCCCTGACGATTAGAGATGTGCTCGGGGACAATGCCTCCTTTCTTGATCCAAACAACTCTTTTCTTTCTTAAAATATACTGATTTCCAAGTCATTTTCACACCATACTAATTACGTAAAAGCGTCGTTATTGGCGTAAAATGACCATCGAAGTCGATGTGCCCGAAAACACCAATGAACAACAACAGAAGGGCCCCGTCGGGAGACCAACTAGCTTGACACCCGGCACTGACCGAATGAGCTCCCGTCAGCGGCCGGTGACTTGTCCCTCATTTAGCCGACTGGGTGGCTTCCACAGTCGCGGCAGGGTCAGCCAGTGCCGCGGTCCCCGTACATGCGACGTCTCAGGTGGCAACTCAGGTACTTCGCCGATGCGGACCGCGGTCCAGGCGGTGCGCTGGGGGCGATTGGGCCGAAAGGCGCTCGGACCGCGATTGGTCGGTCCACTGCGACGTCATACGCCTGCGGCGGTCAGTACAGCTGAGACGATAATGCTGGACAGCGCGGGGCGATTGGCCCGAGACATCGCCTTTGTTGCGCCTCAGCTCTTTCCAGGTCCCTCGTCACTAGTGCAAGTGAAATGCTGTAATGCAGCCAGTTCTTCAGAGACTATGCATGACGGGCTCCTTCCTTGTTGATGTCGCCTAATTGGAGCGGTGCGTGAGCTGCGCTCAGAGTTGCGATCCGGTACATTCATTTTTTTTTCTCTTCGAAGCGCTGTGACGTTAAATGTGAGCCGTTTTTGCAAATATATCGTCTTGTAGTCGTGACCAATATAAATATGACAGTGGTCACTCCGTAAATTAACCTGGATTATCGGTTATGTCTGCTGGTGGTGGATACCGACCGCCGTAATTTTTACCTAGGTCACCACCTAACGTGCATCCTTTGGGTACTGCATTACTCAGCTGACTCTTAGTAATGGTCTCTCGCTGAACTTCCTGCGTCCAGGGACATTTCCTTCTTCACGGTACTAACTTGAGACCTGCTGCGTTATGTTGCATGACGGCTGCGGCCTGTTTCTGGAATGTCAATATCAAGTGAACAACGGCATGAAACTTAATGGCTTCGAGTGGTTTTCAAATGCGAGCTTTGTACTTTTCATAACCCGACCCCTCTTTGTTTACCGCAGTCGTGGAAAGTCGGACGTTAGCATGCGCCGCCAGCGAACGCTAAGTTGATTTGGGCCGCGGCGGCCCCGCTCCTCTCAGCGTGGCGCCCTCCTAAGGGGCGCCGCTGGCGGTCGGTAACAGCTGTCAGCGCCCGGCTGGGCGCGAGCAGCCTCAACTGCCTGTAGGCGACTGGTCATCGCTTTCCGCGTCATGTGGGCTTGGCGTGAAAGTGCTGGCATCAATGCGGGCGAATACAGACCCTATCGGAGCGGGGGAATACAGACCCTGCCGGAGCGGGAGGAATGCAGACCGAACCGAAGCGAGCGAATACAGACCCTGCTGGAGCTAGGAATACAGACCGGACCGGAGCGGCGAAATATAGACCCCGCCACGTGAGCGCGACGGGGCAGAGCTGAGACACAGCTGCCTGGGCGTTGCTGGGTAATCGCCGTCGTACCGTCTGTGCGTGGCTGGGTAATCACCGTCGTACCGTCTGTGCGTGGCTAGGTAATCACCGTCGTACCGTTTGGGCGTGGCTAGGTAATCACCGTCGTACTGTCTGGGTATGGCTGGGTAATCACCGTCGCACCGTCTGGGTGTGGCGCCCGAGTCGGCCGATGCCGTGCCCCGCCCCCCGCTCCCCCCGTCCCCCCCGCCCCCGCCCCCGTAGCCGCCGCCACGGTAGCCCCCGAGCCGCACGACTCTGAGCGTCTGAATAAGTCAGCGCGCCCCCTCGGTGCTGATGGCCGGCGGCCGGGATTCGCAGTGGCGGCCGGCCGGCGGCGTGGGACGATCATTTTGCCGGGCCGGCCCGACCAAAGGTCAGGTGGAGATCGGCCCGCCGCCCTCGCCGCGCCCAGCTGTGATATTCTTGGACGCGAAGAAAGGACGGGCGGCGCTCTGCTGCCGCTCCTCCTGCTCTCCTATGCGCACGATGGGCTGACGTTCGCGACGGGCGGTCCGGATGTCTCCTGGGCGCCGCGTCCGTTATCAGCCCTGCGTCGCCGCGTCCGTTATCAGCCCTGCGTCCGTTATCAGCCCTGCGTCGCCGCGTCGGTCACCAGCCCCGCGTCGCCGTGACGGTTATCAGCCCCGCGTCGGTTACGAGCCCCGCGTCGCTGCGTCGGTTATCAGCCCCGCGTCCGATATCAGCCCCGCGTCAGTTATCAGCCTCGCGTCCGTTATGAGCCCCGCGTCGCCGCGTCGGTTATCAGCCCCACGTCGCCGCGTCCGTTATCAGCCCCGCGTCGGTTATCAGCGCCGCGTCCGTTATCAGCCCCGCGGACGTTATCAGCCCCGCGTCGGATACTCGTTGCGCGACTGGTTTGCCATAACACGGTGATTGCATTGTCGCGATGCGGGGATGTGGCACGGTTCGCTGGCGGCTGCTGATGTCGTGCTGTCACGGTTCGCTGGCGGCTGCTGATGTCGTGCTGTCACGGTTCGCTGGCAGCTGCTGATGTCGTGCTGTCACGGTTCGCTGGCAGCTGCTGATGTCGTGCTGTCACGGTTCGCTGGCGGCTGCTGATGTCGTGCTGTCACGGTTCGCTGGCGGCTGCTGATGTCGTGCTGTCACGGTTCGCTGGCGGCTGCTGATGTCGTGCTGTCACGGTTCGCTGGCGGCTGCTGATGTCGTGCTGTCACGGTTCGCTGGCGGCTGCTGATGTCGTGCTGTCACGGTTCGCTGGCGGCTGCTGATGTCGTGCTGTCACGGTTCGCTGGCGGCTGCTGATGTCGTGCTGTCACGGTTCGCTGGCGGCTGCTGATGTCGTGCTGTCACGGCGAGGTGGCGGCTGCTGATGTCGTGCTGTCACGGCGAGGTGGCGGCTGCTGATGTCGTGCTGTCACGGTTCGCTGGCGGCTGCTGATGTCGTGCTGTCACGGTTCGCTGGCGGCTGCTGATGTCGTGCTGTCACGGTTCGCTGGCGGCTGCTGATGTCGTGCTGTCACGGTTCGCTGGCGGCTGCTGATGTCGTGCTGTCACGGCGAGGTGGCGGCTGCTGATGTCGTGCTGTCACGGCGAGGTGGCGGCTGCTGATGTCGTGCTGTCACGGTTCGCTGGCGGCTGCTGATGTCGTGCTGTCACGGCGAGGGGGCGGCCCATTTCAGGAGCGCCCTGATCAGATCAGGCGTTCGACCCCTGTCACCGGTAACGACCGCGTGCGTTTCGGCGGCGCAGTCGAGACCAGCCCTGGTGCGACCATTTGCGAGAGTAGGTCTGAAACACTTGCGTCTCGCGAGACCAGTTGGGGCTCATTGGCGTGCAAGTTCGTGGCTTGTTAGACGGCCCTCAGAAGGCGCCTGTCGGAGAATGCCCGCAGGGTCGTCAGTGCCCTGTCACATTCGCTTTTGACCTTTCCTGGCTGGCAGTGGGCGCGCCGGTAAGCGAGCATGCTCGGCGACCGATGTCTTCAAACGGGTTAGCTGGCCGCCGGGCCTGCTCGTCAGTTAGTCACCTGTTCACGATCCTGGGCCCCACTTACTGCTGACCTTTCCGCCCACCGAACTTCGCGCCTCATTCCCCGCTCGGCGAACTCGCGCCTCGCTCCGCGCGGCCGCCACCGGCCGGCGACTGGCGGCCGCCGTTCGGTCCGACCAATCGCCGCCTCTCGCGCCGTTTCTGCGAACGGCCTCTCAGTTACGGCACCGATGGTCGGGCGACGGCGGGAATGACCCGGCCGACGCGCCGCCACCGCGCCGATTATATGTTTTTGGCGGCGCCGGGGCGGCGCCGGCCGCTCAGCCGTCCTGAGATTAAGCGCCATCGCGCCACGCAACGCGGGCGCTGCTGGAGCTCAGCTGTCCTCTGCCGTGTGATTAGCGAACGCGCTGTTTGGATGCGTGCTTGCGCGCGGACAACCTGCTATCTTGGAGCTATGGCTGTGATAAGCGTCGCTGTAATGCTGGAAAGTGAACTCAGTACTCCTGTTGTGTTAACGTAGAGCCATGGCTGTGCTATCGTCGTTTTAATACCGCTAAGTGAACGCGGTGCCGATCAATGCTGATCTGTCACGCATAACTGAGCACGGTGTCGTCTGGTGGCTGGCCGTCGTGTCACACGTGAGGCTGATCGCTTCCGCGTCGTCCCTTCGTCGCTTCCGGCAGGTACGGCCATGACGGAATGCGTGGCCGAGATCGGCCGGCTGGCCCAGAACGCGCCCAGCGAACTTCGCATCCGGGCCCTGGAGACCATCGAGCAGCTGCTCCAGCTGAAGGTCGGTGGGCGCCGGCGTCATATGATGCGTATAGCTCAGCTCAGCATGTGTGTCAGGCATCATGGCGTGGTGTGAGCAGGCGCGCGGGAAGGCAGCCACCGCCTCCCGGCACGTCAGTCCCGACCCCTGCCGTGACGTGCGTGGTGGCCGTCTCACGCCCGTCACGCGCGACCACGGCTCTGCCGCGTCAGCCGGTCATCTGGCCTGCCGTCACCCGGACTGCAGCCTGTCGACGGCGGGCGGCGTTTGTCCCCGAACCGCTGTCGTGCGTCCACGCCCCCTCCCCTCCGCAGCAGACTCCCCCGGCGACTGGCCCCCGGGCACGGCGCCGGGCGTGGCCGGGCGGCCGGTGGCATTCGGGCGGCGCGCGGCACCGGTCGGCACGCGGCGGGCCCGCGGCACGCGCAGCGCGCCGCCGCCCCCGCGTCGCCGGGCGCCGCCGGTGACCCCCACGCGAGGAAGGTCGCCGCCGGCGGCGGCGTGATGGCCGCCAGCTGTCGCCCGTGAAATAGGCCGGCGGGGACAACCTGACGGAGACGCTGTGCGTTCAGCGCGGAGCGTGCGCCAACACTGGCCTGCGTTTGGACGTGTCTCGCCGCCCGGACGGCCCGTGCGGCGCACCCCCACCGTCCATCCATCCAGCAGCCGGTTTTCAATTGGCAGTGGGCGCGCGGCGGCGGAAGTCCAGAGCAGATTTAAAATAACATCAGCGGCCGCAGAACTAGCCGGCAGCTGCGGAGCCGGACCAATCACCTCGGGGCCCAGACGAAGGCGGTATTGGGGCGGCCGCTGCGGTGGACTGGGCACGGAGGCACGTATATAGGCTTGGCATATTGGAGCTGCGGCGGAGCGCGCAGGCACAGCTCACATCCCTCGCCAGGCACGAGGTACGGACGAACCGCTGGCCGGGCGTGAGGCTCGGATGACGTGCGTGAGACACAAGTGGACCCTTGGCTGGACATGACACACGAATGGATCCCTGACTGAGTATGCCACACGGATGGATCCCTGGCTGGGCATGCCACACGGATGGATCCATGGCTGGGTATGCCACACGGATGCATCCCTGGCTGGGTATGCCACACGGATGGATCTCCGGCTGGGTATGACATACAGATGGATGTCTGACTGGGTATGACACACGGATGGATCCCTGGCTGGTGATGACACACGGATGGACCCTTAGCTGGGTATGCCACACGGATGGATCCCTGGCTGGGTATGCCACACGGATGGATCTCTGGCCGGGTATGACACCCAAGAGAACCTCTGGACGCGTCTAACACGGTGGACCCATGACAGGGCACGGGCCGTACTCCGGCGAAGCACAGAATGGCCCGTGGCCATCCTCCGGCGAAGCACCAAAGGGCCCGTGGCCGTCCATGAGCTGAGCTGTGGCGCACGTTCGTCGTGAACCTGCTAGCCCGCTATCCGACCTCAGACGCTGCTGAGGCTTTTGTGTGTTCGTCATATGGGCTCATTTTATAGGCTGCCAAAGGCTTCAGGTACCTTTACATTCATGTGTTTGTTCGAGCAAAGTTTCAAAGCCCGTAACTTCTCCGCCGAAAGTCATTTGAGGCGATGTCTTTCCTTTTCAATGCCTTTGGACTTGGCTTTTATTTCGCCTGCTTCCATGGCCTTAAGGCTGCAGCCGGGCTTTTGATTGTTAAATTTCCGTCGGGGGGCGGGCCAAACTATTTTGAAAGGCCAAGGCGGCCGCCGGTCAGGCAGGATGATCACCCATGGGGCGCCGAAGGCATGCACGATGACCCTGGCGCCGTTCGGTGTTTTATTTCTTGGCTGCACTTGGGCTGATTGGGTGCTCGCCCAGCGGTGACGAGCTGCCGCCTCTTGTTCTCAAATTCCGCCCACGTGCAGACCTGCAAATGGGCCGGCGCAGCTACGCCCGAGTGCGCTCGAGTGACACCTGGCTCATACCGCCGCCGCGCGCATTATCGGATTGCTCGTTGTCATGGGCGGCGAGCCGGGCGCGGCGTAATGGTCGCGCCGCGTCCGCCGCCCGCTGGCGAAATGCGCCCGCCGACCGGGCCGAGTGCGGCGCGGCCGTGGACGCCGCCTCGAGCGCGGTGTCGTCGTCCGACGACGGACTGGTGTCACGTGGGGATGGACGCCGTCGGCCGGTGGTGCCGGGCCGGCGCCGTGTCCGGCTCGAGACGGATGAGCGGGACAGCGGCCAGGTGGCGACAGGCGCCCGCACGCCCGGACCCCCCCCCCCCCCCGTTCCCCTCCCCGCTGTGGACAGACACTGCACGAGCGGCCGCCGGCTGCCAGGCTAGAACACGCCGTCTGGGCTGTTGCGCGGGGAACGTCGGTCGAGTGGGTGCCCTGGTCTTACAGCGCCCTAGGCATAGCTACCCACCATCGGGTGTACCACCCACCCTATGGACGTGGGTGATGCCCTAGACATAGACACATTTGGGATGTGGGGTCCAAAACGACGTTAGTAGTTGGTGCGCCCTATAACCCCCATCATCAGCGCAATGGACGTGGGCGTTACACCGGGGATAGCTAATGGACGTGGGCGTTACACCGGGTATACACAATTGACGTGGGCGGTTACACCGGGTATAGACAATGGACGTAGGCGTTACACCGGGTATACAAAAGGGACGTTGGCGCTGCACCAGGTATTCACAATGGACGTGGGCGTTACACCGGATATTCACAATGGACGTGAGCGGTTACGCCAGGTACAGACGATGGACGTGGGCGTTGCACCGAGTATGCGCAATGAACGTGGGCGTTACACCGGGTATACACAATGGACGTGGGTGGTTACACCGGGTATAGGCAATGTACGTGGGCGTTACACCAGGTATTCTCAACGGACGTTGGCGTTACACCGGGTATACACGATGGACGTGGGCGTTGCACCGTATATACACAATGGACGTGGACGTTACACCGTATATACACGATGGACGTGGACGTTACACCGGATATACACAGCGGACGTGGGCGTTACACTGGATATACACAATGGACTCAGGTAGATCAGCAGGCATAAACGGTGAACGCAACCGGCGCATCACAGGTAGACAGAGACTAAACTTGTGTGGTACACTGAGTTAAGATGCTGCTTTGGGTGGTGCACCTGTTCTATTCAAGTGAACGGTAATGCTGATTGGTGGTTTTCAGGCGCTTCGACTTCAAAGGTCATTTTGCGCCCAGTCTTTACTCCTTGCACGGGCACGACCGCCCCGTGGTTGTCTCAAGGGAGGAACACAGTCGGTAGTGAGTTTTGTGCGTTTGTCGTAGTCTTTTGGCATGATGCGGCGGTTCAGGAAAACATAATCTAGACGTGTTATGTAATACCGGTGCTCCATCATAACCTTCACGCAATGTTCACCATCACGCCATCTGATGGAAAATGTTAGATCTCACTCGAAATGTCCACGCGGGTACTTTTGTAATAACCATTATCACGTTACTTGCCTGATGGAAATATGTCATCTATGAGACATGTCCTGAAACGCCATTAAAATACTTGAGCTCATTTAGAGGCTGACGAAATCAAGCATATTATATTTTTCAAGTTTTGGCGCTTGCTAACAACTCTTGGAACAGTTCGCGAATCACTATTCACTTGTGTTTCCTTACGCCTTCGCTGCGGGCCGGCCAGCCGTTCGCCAACACGCCCGCTCGCGAACAGCTGGCTCGTGTTTTTTAATATTGATTTAAATTGGCGAACGCATTTATTGCATTTTGTATAGCCGTTTCATATTTGATGTTCGGCGACATAATAAATATTGTTCACCGTGTGTTTGCCTCAAAGGGTGCAACCAACTGCGCTGACTCAAACGTACTATGCGTCGATCATGTGGGTATTGAGCGGTTTTAAGTCTGCAGTTCATTCGGAGTAAGTCTTCAAGAGAGCGCTGTGGAAGTATGTGACGGCAGCAGCCGCGTCCAGCGACGGTGATGCCTGGAGCTTGCGGGAGGCCTTTCTTGGACGGTCGCTGTTTCAGGGCCACAGTTCCCTCGGGTTGGGATGCCAGGCAGCAGCAAATGTGTGTGTGTGTGTGTGTGTGTGTGTGTGTGTGTGTGTGTGTGTGTGTGTGTGTGTGTGTGTGTGTGTGTGTGTGTGCGCGGGTGCGTGTGTGCGTGCGCGGGTGCGTGTGCGCGTGCGCGTGCGCGTGTGTGTGTGATGTGCTCGTCTGGATCTTACGATTTCTCACCCCGTGCCAACAAGCAGACTGCGACAAATGACTAAGTTAGTTAGTCACACGCCGGCAAACTCGTTGAAGAAGTTTGAACAAGGCGCTTACAGGGTGTGAAGGCCTTTCATTGCTGTCTCTAAGTCCTGTTCCTGCCACGTAAAGTCAAGTTGCTCATTTCGTAAAATCGCTCGTCAATCGTTTTCTGTTCTTTTTTTGCAGTTGATTTGAATAGTTCCTTGTTTAGAAACAACTGTTTGAGCCTGTTGCTTTATCCAGTTAGACCTGTAACGTTGCCTGCGTCTGTCGGCAGACCTTTTGCCTGTCATCTAATGTTGTGCCACGCTGGATATGCAGCCGGTGCAGCCGCGGGGATCTCCCCGCCACTTGCCACCTGGCACCGGCCGGGCCAGGCAGTCTCCTCAGGCACTCAAACCCATCTGGCACCAGCCGGGTCAGAGCAGTCTCCGCAGGCACTCAAACCCATCTGGCACCGGCCGGGTCAGAGCAGTTTCCGCAAGCTTTCAAACCCACCTGGCACCAGCCGGGTCAGAGTATTCTCCGCAGGCACTCAAACCCACCTGGCACCGGCCGGGCCAGGCAGTCTCCTCAGGCACTCAAACCCACCTGGCACCAGCCGGGTCAGAGCAGCCTCCGCAGGCACTCAAACCCACCTGGCACCGGCCGGGTCAGAGCAGTTTCCGCAAGCTTTCAAACCCACCTGGCACCGGCCGGGTCAGAGCAGTCTCCGCAGGCTTTCGAACCCAGCTAACACCGGCCGGGTCAGAGCAATCTCCGCAGGCTTTCGAACCCAGCTAACAC